CCGGAAGGCCAAATAAAGTGCTTTTGCTTTCGCACTGAAACACACAGCGTCTCACTGACATCAACACTACTGCCGTTCCTGAAACCACGCCTTCTTTCTATGCGTGCACATTTGGGCGGCATTATGCTAATATTTCCACATAGTGAGGTAGATATGTGGGGGCGTGTTAGAACGACTTTAAATTACATTCAGAAATTACATAACATAGAAACAATTGATCTTTTTTTGAGTTGGACATAACCTGCAGTTCAGTCATTCCATTCGATTCAGTGAGCTCTGAATCGATTCATCTGACCAATTCAGACTCCTACATTTGATTCAAACAGATTTGATTCAACTGATCCATTAAAAAGAACTACACCAATCAAATCTGACAGCACATTGTGAATTTCATAACATAAAATACCAAACCAAATACTAGATCTTGATCGTTTGCCAATATAGACTACAGTTTAAAAGTTTGAGGTCAGTAAGATTTTTTTTTTGAAAGAAATAATTCTTTCATTCAGCAAGGACACATTCAATTGATAAAAAGTGACAGCAGAGACATTTATCGTGTTAAAAAAAGATTTATATTTCAAATAAATGATGTTCTTTTTAACTTTATGTTCATCATAGAATCCAAAAACATTTATTGTACTTTCCACAAAAATATTAAGCAGCCAGCTGTGATAATAATGAAAAATGAGCTTCAAATCAGCATATTACATTTATTTCTGAAGGATTTCTGAAGTAATGATGTTGAAAAATCAGCTTTGATCACAGGAATAAATTACATATTACAGTATGCTCATTTAGTAACAGTTACTTTAAACTGCAATAATATTTCACAATATTACTGTTGTTGTTTTTTAAATAAATCAAATAAATGCAGACTTGGTGAGCATGAGAGATTTCTTTAAAAAATATTTAACAAATCTTGCCAATTTTTTTTAATGGCAGTGTATTTTCCTAAATAGTGCTGCAGAAAGGCACCTCATCAACATGCTGCTGCTGAAGAGGCCGATTTACAAGCAAGTGCAAGTCTTTAGCCGGTTAAATATACAAGTGTCTCTCCAGGCACGGCTGAGATTGTCTTTATTGAGTAGCTGAGCTGTAGGAGGACACGATCACCATTAGCAGCATGTTTACACTCCTCTGCTCTCTGCAGCATTAACCCTGTAAAGAGCTGAGAGGGAAAACGTTCCGGACACACCAGCTGAGAGACGAGATACGGCTGCCCGCCATCTATCCGCCAGGATAGTGTTTGAATTCCCAGAGGCTAATTACCGGATTCCAAATCAATCCTGCTTTTTAAAGACATCCGCCACAGAAGCCTTCAGAACACAAATGAGAATCTACTGGCTTGCTTTTACCCTATAATCATCTGGCAAGCTTCATGCAAGAGATTATTTTTGCATTTTTGGAAAAAGACCACATGCTCCAGTTGCAGTTTTCTTAAGGCCTATTTGGATTGGACTAGTTTTCCCTGAGGAGGTTTCACAGACATACGTGATTGTAATCCAGTTTAAACGTGATTCATGATGCATCAATACAAAGATCCCAATCCCATCTGAATCAACAAATGACAGACGTCATATTTTAACAACTGTAACTCAAACGTTGTTTTGAGTTTTTCCTTCTTCCGTTTTTAAAAAAATCTCCGTACACATGAAAACGCATGCTATGAAGCACTGTCAAGAGCATGCCAAACCAACAGGTGGTGATATAATCTCAACCATAAAGCCATGTTGGCCAATCAGAAGCCTGAAAAAGTTTCCAGTAGGCAGAGATAACAGCACAGGCTCTGACGCTTTGGCTGTCTACACAATAACACTGCAACCGGAGTTTTTGAAAATCTTCACCTGGCAGGCGTTTTCAAAAATGTTCGGTTTTAGTGAACTGGTGCTGCGTTTGCGTGTGGACGAACGGCCTAACCGTGTAGAAAAAGCTGCAGTTTTAAAAATAACCACATTCGTGTGGACAGGGCCTTAATGCACGGTAAAAGGTAAAAAAAGCAGTAAAATTTCCTGTAAAAAATAGCAGCGCCATGAAAAATACAGCAGTGACATTTTACTTTTTACGGACTAAAATTTACAGTAAAAAAAATAAATAATGATTAAAATAAATAAAAATGTAAATAAGTAAATAAAATAGGATTATAATAAATAAATAGGATTAAATTAAATAAAAATTAGTTTAAATGAAATAAATAAAAATAGGATTAAAATAAAATTGATTGTACTAATGTACTAATGCACATAACTGAAAAACTAAGAAGAAACAATTATTTAAATGAAAAACCATAAAATTTGAAGCGTCCATTCTGGATATGTCAGTTTACATTCTTTACATTACAAAAATGTAATTTACAATAAAAAAAAATCAACGTTAACTATAAAATGACATAAAATGTAAAATACTGGTAAAAGCACTGTTTTTTTAATCTTAAAATGACATTAATGATATAGATCTATTACAGTTATTACAGTAAGGGAGCCAACTGGTTTTTACTGTAGCATTTTACAGTTTTTAACTGTTCAAATGAGAAAAATAATTTTATTTACAGTGTAAACCTGACATGTGCAAAAGCCAGCTGTGTTTAATACCTTCACTGTTGACGCAGCGGACCTGTGGCATCTGTGTTCCCTCTCCACAGTCCATGTCTTCCTCTGGGATACACTCCTCTAGCTTGACCAGCTGCCAGCTAAAACAGCTGGGATCATCACACGGGATGGCCTCCACCAGATGAGGACAGTTCCCCTCGCCACCCGTGGGGTAATTAGTGATCGTACGTCGTCTGAACTTGAAACCTGCAAATAAACATGACACAAAAGGTCTATTAGTTGTCTCTATAACACCTTCTGTAAGTCACAGTTAAAAATGCCACTGGATTAGGACAAAATATCAGTGACATCACTTTTGTCATTTTTAATGACATTTTACCCAATTACTTTAAACCAACTTGTCTTGAGGTGGTTTTTGGTGGATGTGTGACCTTTCGTTGAATTGATTTTTTTCTCAAGAACATGTCCAATTTACATTCCGTCCAAAATGAAAGCAAATAAATGGTTTTCATTAAAAGTAAATAAATAAACAAACACAACCTATTTTTAGGACCTTTTATGACTTATTTTCATTACAATTAAGCAATTATAAAGCAATAAATGAAATTGTTTATCATAAAAAAAAATCAAACCTATTTTTAGGACCTTTTCTGCACATTAGTAGGCTACTTTTTTACTACAATTAAGCAATTGTAAAACAACAACAAAAAATGTTTTTCATTAAAAATAGTCAAACCTATTTTTAGGATTTTTTTTGTACATTCTGACTTTTTTTATTACAACTAGGCAATTGTAAAGCAATAAAATACATTATTTTTCATTTAAAAAATGCAATCTAATTTTAGGACCTTTTTGTACATTCTGACTTTTTCATTACAATTAAGCAAATGTAAAGCAATAAAAATACAGTAGGCCTAATACACAAAAATAAAGTATTTATATAATACATTTGAAAATGCATATAATTATGAGGGCAAATGTGTTTAACTGTCATTAAAATAATGTAAAAATATCTTAATGGCATTAAAAATTGGCCAATTAGTTATAATATATAACAGTAGAGAAATATTAAGACATGTTTGAAACGCGATTTCAGCTGATATGACGTAATGCAGCATCTTGGAGAAATTATTTAAAATAGCGGTTAAATCAAAAGGAAATATTCTATTCTGGCTGTAAAACAGCTCTGTGCCTCAGTAAAATATTGTGTCTCAGTATTTGACACTTCCTTTTCAGTGAATATATTATTGGTTTCAGCAATGTTTACCTTTCTTCACGACGCGTTCATCGCAATTCTCAAAGGTGCAGGGCCCCCAGGCGCCCCACGGGGACACTTCACACTCCACAGGGCACGGGATGTGACACAGCTGCGTGGTACTCGGAGTCGTTCCCTTGCAGAGCCGAACATCTACGGGTTGTGATGCTACAACGCAAACACACGCATTAAAACACTGCGGCAAGACTCCCACATGAGCACCACACTGTCAGACTCTGTTCCATGTTTTGTCTGTGTCTTGCTCCCCAGGTGTTCCTTTCCCATATTTAATTTGTCCCAGGTGTTCCCCATGATGGTTTATTGCTCCCAGGTGTGTCTCGTCATCCCCTCCTCCTGTGTGTGTGTGTGTATAAAATGTGTTCCCAGTCCCAAGTTCTCTGTTCGCTGTTGTACGTCTTCGTGTGAACGTCTTCGTGTGAACGTCTTCCTGTGTATGTCTTCCTGTGAACGTCTTCCTGTGTTCGTCTCCCTTGGTTCCTTGGTGGTAATAAAGTCCTGTTAAACGTATTCTCCAGCGTCTCCTCGTTCCTCGTGTGTGTGCAACGTGACACACACATGACAGACAATTAGCTTTATGTAACTGCAGGAAACAACAAATGGCAACATTAAACACGCTCTGAAGAATCCTGATTCCCTGTTGCATCACAGCAAAGGAAAAACTGGAGAAAACCGGAGATTTCAGCATAATTTGAATGCACATCCCCAACCCGATGTGTTTGTTTATTAAATATTTGGACTAATTTGGTAAAGTTCCCAGTTATAAATAATCTAAAATACGACATATAATGAAATAAAATGACAAATTAAATAAAATAATAAGCAAAATAATAAAAATTAAATAAATTAGAAATGTATAAAAAAATTATAAAATTACATTTATAAAATTAAGGCACAATGATTTGTTTCATGTACTGGTCAATTTTGGAATTTTGGGAACTTTGGTTGTTTTTTTTTTCAGTAGAAAACATCCAAAATACATTTACATGCATTTAAATACTTTTTTTTTGTGCTTATTTTACTGCAATTTATCTGCCAATTTTATTTACAGTACTTATCTTTAAAGTTTGTTTTCTTAAAAAAATATATATATTTTTTTTTGTACAGAGCTTTCCAAAAAACATAGTCAAAATGTATTTTATTTTTGGCTATTGACAGTATTTTCTGATATATCGAGTAAAAAAAAAAACTCTTAATGCAATTGCACGTAATACAAAAAATGTTTGCAATGCTTAAATGTAATTAAATGGGGAAGTATGGTGATATGTATTAGGTGAATTGGTACCCTATTCACCTGGAATGCAATGCAATGAAATGAAATGCAACGAAACGAAAAATTGTGATATCTATGAATTACTTAAAAATGATTAAACAAAACGAAACAAACAAACATAAATAAATAAAGTCCTGTCAGAGGAATAGTCCTCAGATGAGTGTAGAAAATGCCCATGAAAAAGTCTATGGATCCCATCTGGGCCCAGCATGCGTGAAACTGAGATCTTTTTTTCCCTGGAACTATAAAATACAAATTCGGAAACACAAACAAAAGTGGTGCATTAATGTTTTAAAACACGACAGCAAAAACACAGGATTTTGCTGTCGGCTTGATGGGTGACAGGTGACATGTCTGCTGCGTTTGCATCAAAGCGAGGTAAACTCTTCTCGTGGAGCTCTCCATGCTGATATGTGGTGAGTTCTGCTCTCTAGAGAGTTCCAAAACAAAATGCTCTCCACATGCACATTGTCAACTAAAAAGTATGAGAAGACTAAGACACAGACCTTCAAAAAAAAAAAAAATGTGATTGAACTCTGGAAATGGGCATGGGGAATGACAGTTCACCTCGTTCAACTCTTCTGGCGCCGCATGTTCCCCAAATTAATGGAGAGACAGATTTCAGTGTAATGCACCATCATCTAAGTTAACATAACACAGCACAGGTTGTCCTTGTTTACGTGCCAGATGGTCTAGACCTTCTGTGCAAACTTTCTGTCTAATCAAAGTTTGCGGTCTGTGCCTGCTTTGACAAACCCAGGCGGACAGGCTTAGCTTCAAGCATGAGAATGATTTGGTGCTCGGTAGCTGCTTGAAAACAGATGAGAAACCTAAGGTGGCCCTGGTATTTATTAATATACTCGCTTAAGAAAGTTTTAAAGAAAAGCATTTATTTGAAAATGTCTCTACGTCACATTTGATCAGTTGTATACAGTATACTTATCGATTTGCACCATGTTATAGAGTCCATGAAATAAAAGGCAGAAGGGTCTAGTTTAAAAGATCCAAATAAACCAAATACAAACAAAATGCTTCTTTATTTCTTTTGAGGACGAGTGTACAGTAAGGAGCTGTCAGAATGACTGTCATTGTCAATCAATCTCTGTCAGTTGTCTGGTGCCCAGAGGAGAGTGTTGACTAAAGCACAAAGTGTTGCATCAGTATGTAGTCTTGTAATGAGCTCTCCATGGACACAAACGCTTACAAAAATACAGAGAGTAAACAGACTAAGCAAACAAAATATGTAAACATGCTTTAGGCAAAGAGATTTGATCAAACAAAGACCATTATATCAGATGCAAAAAGGAAAGAGAATAAAATAAAAACATGACAATTTAATTTAATAATTTAATACAATATAACATAAATATAATATAAAATATAATTATTAAAATACAATTAAAATGATTAAATTAAATATAAAATAAAAATAATAAAATGAAATAAAATAAAGTTATAGAACTATAAATATGTCACGATGCACATACACGAGGAACGAGGAGACGCTGGAGAATACTTTACCAAGACTTTATTTTCAGGAACCAAGGGAGACGAACTCAGGAAGACGTTTAACAGCGGACCGAGAACTTGGGACTGGGAACACTTTTTATACACAGGAGGAGGGGACGACGAGACACACCTGGGAGCAATGAAAAAATAAGGGAAACACCTGGGACAAATGAACTTAACTAATCAGGGGAGGAACAGGAAACTAACCAAATAAGGGCATGGGAAGGCACATGGGGAGCAGGACACACACAAAACATGGAACAGAGTCTCACAAAATATAGTATATATTAATAATAAAAAATAATAAATGTAATAAAATATAATTAAATTATTAAAAATAAAATAAAATAACAGTTTCTCTTTCAAAGCAATGTTGGTATATTTACATTGAGTTGAAAACTACCCCAAATATTCCTTTTAAGGGGTTAAACATCTTACCTGAGATCTCATAGCTGATAGACAGGAGGGGAGGGACACTAGGCATCTGGCCGTTTGAAGACTGACCTTCTACAAAGCACACAAACTACTGCTAATAAACATCATTCAAGGGAAAATACAAATACAATCACTATTAACTCTATTCTGTGACTATTTCCACAATATTACAGCTTTAAGGGGGTAACGCAGGGCATCTACTATCCTGAGCTGTGACGTCAAAAGCAGCAGGCAAGGGAAAATATAACCATTCAACCTTTAAAGAGTCCTTCAGAAAATACAATACAATGATATCCATTTAATCACAACACACAGGCACTTTTGATATAAAATCATTTTCTGTCATTCTGATGGACTGGGTTGTAAATTTCCCGTCATGCTCTACTCTTTCCTGTCAGTAAAATATGAAAAACTCTTGGTTCTCTCCTTATATTCTTACTCGCACCTCTCGCAGTCTACTTTCACATTTTATTTTCTCAATTTAGTTCACCCAATGCAATAGGCCAGACAACTTATTTCTATATCTGTCAAAACAACACAAAGCATTTTGAATTATCTGTCAATGTTTTTATTGTTTGGTAAGTGACAGAAAAATGTTCAGTTAATGCAACCTCTGGTTATGTCATTTACCAGCAGGGCCAAACTGTTCATGATAACCAGCCAAACCCATTGGTTTGTAATGCCATAAATGAATCACATCTGTCACATTCGGTCCTCCTATAAAGCAGTCATTTTTTTCATAGTAGACTCCAAATATAGCTCTGTCCAATCGAATGTCACGGCAGTTTATTCAGCGTACATCACCTCCATTGACTTTCATTCAGACAGTAATGTGATAATGTGAGGTATAAGCTGGTTAGCTTTTACTTGCGCCCAGATCTCAGCCAGTCAAAAGCCGCAGGATTCCTCCTACACTCTCAAAATCAAGCTTCTTCAATGGATTTTTGCAGCACTTCAGTAAAGAACTCTCTTCTCATCAAGAATCATTCCCATTTTCTGCATCATATGGAACTTAAGGATTCTCATATGGCATTACATAAAACTTAAAGATTCTCTTACAGCATCATAAGGGCTTTGAAATTATTATCTTATGGAATCTAATGGAACTTATAAAGATTCACTTACGGCATCATAAGGAATTTACAATGACTCTCCTATAGAATCAAAGAAAGAAAAGAAAAAAACTAAATAAAGGCATCATTTGAAGCTTATATAGAGTGTCTTATGGAATCAAATGGAACTAAAAGATTATGGAGTCATGAAATTTACAGTAAAAAGATTCTGTTATAGAATTATTTATAATATTAAACTGATATGGAGCCAAATTTTACTTATAGATTCACTAACGGAATTATATGAAACTTACAAAGATTCTCTTGTGGATTCAAATGGAACATATGAAAATTCTATTAGGGAATCAAATGGAATTTATAAAGATTCGCTCATGACTTCATATGAAACTTATATTGTCCTATGGAATCAAATGGAAATTATAAAGATTTGCTTTTGACATCATATGAAACGTTTACAGAGTCTTTTATCAAAATCATATGGAACTCTTTTAGAATCAAATAGAAATGGCACAGATTCACTTATGGCATCATATGAAACTAATAAAGATTCACTTATGGAGTCATGAAATTTACAGTATAAAGATTCTGTTATGGAACTTGATTCTCTTACAGAACCAAATGGAACCTATAAAGATTCAAATGTGACATCATATTAAACTTATAATATTTATATTATTAAACTTATATGGCGCCAAATTGAACTTAAACATTCACTTATGGAATCATATGGAACTTACAAAGATTCTCTTGTGGATTCAAATGGAACATATGAAGCTCCTCTTATGGAATCAAATGGAATTTATATTTATATAAGAATTTATATAAAGATTCTCTTATTAATTCATATGAAACTTATATTCTCTTATGGAATCAAATGGAAATGATAAAGATTCGCTTATGACATGATATGAAACTTTGAAAGAGTCTTTTATGCAATCATATGGAACTTACAAAAATTCTCTTTTAGAATCAAATAGAAATGACAAAGATTCACTTATGGCATCATATGAAACTTATAAAGATTCTCCTATGAAATCAAATGGAAATGATAAGGATTTTCCTATGGCTTTATAGGAAACCTATAAAGATTATTTTTTTGGAACAAATGGAACATTAAGATATTCTTACGACATCATATTAAATGTTTAAAAGTTCCTTTATGGAATCAAATTGGAAGTTCTCCTATGTCATCAAATCCTTTTGGAAACACTTGGTTTTAAGACCAGTGAAGCCACCTGTGGGAAATATTGTTCTGTTTGTGCAGTGTTGTGTTCTTAGAAGGAAATGTAAATGAGCATCACTTCCAGATAGATTTGATGAAGGTTTCATCACATCAAAGAATCTTGAAGCTGACAACATCCTCCCAGGGTGAGAACATCACGACTCCATCAGTTGACTAACGCTCCAGCACATTTTCTCTTTAACTTTCTGCACTGTCTGCGTTCATGTATCTGCTGTCGGCAGAGCAGATTACCCCCCAGTGAAGCGAGGCATCTCCTGCATCGTGCTGATAAGGACACAGATTTCCCAGCATACGCAGCTCCACCAGTGGCCTGTTCTAATAGTGCTTCTTTAACTGGAGCTTTTCATGCAGTCAGCGCTCATCTGCTCTAATGTACGGAGACATGTGCATTACGATAAGTTTCAATGTGCTCGCCTTACAGTTCTGAGCATCAAAAGAGCAAGCAGGAGGGAGAAAGATTAAAAAAAGGTATTTTCCATGAAGACGGGTGGGCCATTAATCGAGAGATGTTGTGCGTGTGTGTGTGTGTGGAGCATGCAAAGAAATGCTGATGCAATATATACAGTAGAGTAAGAGATTTACACACACATGCATGTGGGTGGTGGACAGAGAAAGCAAGGGAAGAGGAGAAGAATGACGGATAGATCCATGTATTCTAGGATTTACATTGTTCTGAGAGGTACAAAAAATGTTTGCAAAGCAACATATAAATCACAAAATGTCATTTTATTATAATAGATACTTTGCAATAAATAAATAATTGATTCAATGTTTTTTCTTATAATAAACTGTTTTCAATTTCAGCATCATATGGAACTCAATGACTCTTCAACGGCATTATATTAAACTGAAGGTTTCTCATATGGAGTCCTATGAAACTTATAAAGATTTGATTATGGCATTTTAAGGAACAAATATTCTGTCATCGTATCAAATGGAAATAGTAAAGATTTGTTTAGTGAATCAAATGGAACTAATGAAGATTTGCTTATGGCATCATATGAAACTTATAAAGATTCTCTTATGGGATCAAATGGAACTTAAAAAGATTCTCTTATAGAATCAACTTGAACTTATAAAGATTTACTTATGGAATTGTATGAAACTTATAAAGATTCACTTATGGCATCATATGAAACTCAAAGACTCTCTTATGGAATCATATGAATCAAAGATTCCCTCATAGCATCAAATAGAACTATAAAGGAAATGCATATAAATTTTTTTCTTATGGAACCAAATGGAATTTTTAAAAGATTTGCTTCTGGCATCATATGAAACATAAATATTATCTTATTATCAAAACTTAAAAAGATTTGGAGGAGTTAGTGAGTGAGTGAGTGAGTGAGTGAGTGAGTGAGTGAGTGAGTGAGAGAGAGTGAGTGAGAGAGAGTGAGAGGGAGAGAGAATTTGAAACAGAACTTTATTTCACAGCCATCTTTACAAACAATTTACCAAATCTATCAGTCAGTCAGTCAGTCAGTCAGTCAATCAATCAATCAATCTTTATCACAGCTCAGGATAGTCACCATAGTGAAGGGTTTGGGACTGAACACATTTTTGCTGTGCTATCAGCTAATCATGGATTTGTTCAGGTGACTCGCTCAACAACAATAAAAGTTTGTCCAGAACTGAATGTCTAAGTAAAAATGTCATACTTCTGATTACTATACACTGTCAAGCAGATACCTGTACCTTGTTTGTCTTTGTTGTTATTGATGTAGCTGAGGAGTTCTGCATTGGCTTGGATGCAGTACACTTCTCTGCCCTGAACACCTCCGCCACACAAACCCGTCTGATTCCCACGCCGCCGGTCCTGCTGGCTGAGCAGCGCGTCAACACGACACTCGCTCCATTCGGTGCTCCGCCAGGCATAACTGAAATTAACGTCAAATACAGGCTATTATGTTCTGAACCTGTGCTTTGGATCAACCATACTGTTGTGATAAATCTCTCCAAACATTTACAAGCAACAATGTCATTCCATTTGGATTGCACGTTACACATGATAAACCAAGAGTATCCAAACAAAACAAACAATAAAATGGATCTTGGAAGAATTTCATAATAAATGTCTGAAATCACAAGACAAATGTTTCTAGTAAAAAAAAAAAAATCACAATATATGAACTTAAATGCATTTTAATTCTACTTCTTAAAACTGTAATGCAAATAGCAATTCAGTAGCCTGTTTACCTACAAATTCAGGAATTTAATTGGAAAATAAAAGCATTTTGACTGGCATACAACTGGATGGATGGATGGATTAATTCATTACATTTATATAGCGCTTTTCTAGGCATTCAAAGCACTTTGCATTGTCAGGGGGTATCTCCTCATCCACCACCAGTGTGCAGCATCCACCTGGATGATGTGACGGCAGCCATAGTGTGCCAGAACACCCACCACACACCAGCTTATTGGTGGAGAGGAGACAGAGTGATGAAGCCAATCAGTAGATATGGGGATTGTTAGGAGGCCATGATGATCAGAGGCCAAATGGGCAAATTTGGCCAGGATACCGAGGTCACACCTCTACTCTTTTCGAAAGACATCCTGGGATTTTTAATGACCACAGAGAGTCAGGACCTCAGTTTAACGTCTCATCAGAAGGATGGTGCTTGTTGACAGTATAGTGTCCCCATCACTATACTGGGGCGCTAGGACCCACACAGACTGCAGGGTGAGCAACCCCTGCTGGCCTCACTAGCACCTCTTCCAGCAGAAACCTAGTTTTCCCAGGAGGTCTCCCATCCAGGTACTGACCAGGCTCAACCCTGCTTAGCTTCAGTGGGTAACCAGTCTTGGGCTACAGGGTGATATGGCTGCCGGCAAATGGATGGATGTATGGATGGATGGATAAGTAGGTGGGTAGGTAGATGGATGAATAAGTGAATTGGTGAATGGATAGAAAGGTAGCTAAGTAGTAGGATGGATGGATGGGTAGATAAGTAGGTGGGTAGGTACGCTGTTGGATAGATGGTTGAATAAGTGAATTGGTGAATGGATAGAAAGGTAGATAAGTAGTAGGATGGATGGATGGATGGATGAATAGATGAATTGGTAAATGAATAGGAAGGTAGATAAGTAGGTGGATAGGTAGGCTGGTGGATAGATGGATGGCTGGATGGATAACAGGTAGGTTGATGAATTGATGGATGAATAGGTATGTAGATTTATAGGTGGGTAGGTTGTTGGATAGATGGATGGATGAATGAGTGAATTGGTGAATGGATAGGAAGGTAGATAAGTATGTGGATAGGTAGGCTGGTGGATGGATGGATGGATGGATGGATGGATGGATGGATGGATGTAAAATAGGTAGGTGCATGGGTGGATGGATAGATCTCTTAAACCTTAAGACACATTTGAATACTGGGGTCTTTTATAGTCTGAAAAGACTTCAGAATCTCCATTCAACCTCCATTTAATCTTATTTCTGTCTTGGAAAAAAATAGCGATATTAAAGAGATGTCATTTTTTATTTCTCTTTCCCACTTTCGCTATAGTGTGAAACAGAATTGCAAAAATCCATTATCTTCTCGAGCTGCCTGTTCATAGTACATGGGAGACTCAGAAAGCATTGTGTGGCCTGTGACGGCGTGCCAGTGCGGGCCATCTGTGAGAGAACGAGATTAGAGCAGCGTCACCGAGCTCTTAAGATCACTTCCATTTGTCAGTGCATCTCTCTTGGCTCGGGAGCACAGAGCAGCCCGATCCGTCTCACCCCGTCTCCATATGCTCATGTGCTGACTCCGACTGGCACCACCGCTCACGCAGAGCAGGGGTCAAGCGGTTCCCGGCAGGGTCTCCCTCTCCACGCCGGCAATTCTCCATGAAGAGCAGAAAGCACTACAGTTCGTCATGCTGAGACGTGACTTCTGTTTTTTTTTAGAGCTTGTTTCATGTACATGCCCGCATGATTGGAAAATCCCAAATGAGATCTCGTTAACATCTCAATTACTTCTCCTTGACAACAGAAGATTAAATCGATCGCGAATTAGCTTAGAGTGTTTCCCAGTTACACAGTTCACCTGCAGCATGTGTCTCTTCTAGAGATTCAGAGGAGATCTCGACAATGTCTCCAATTCTGCTCAGATTTGCCAAGATAACAATAAGAGATTTCAATATGAATTAAAATGCTATCAGACCAAAAATGGTCTGAGCTTCTATTCACATTCATTTTCAACCTATGCTGGAAACATTTAGCAATTCTGCAGCAGTATTTTTTTAGCATCACTGAAATACTATAGTTTTTAATTTCAGTAATTTTGTTGTGTTTTTTGTCATTTTGCTTACATATTTTTTTAATTATTATTTTTATTAATGTTTTAGTTGTTCTTCAAGTGAAAATAAATTAAAGAAAAAATGAAAAAGAAAAAAAAAGAAATGTTGCCTTGGCTTTTATTTTATTTTATTTTATTTTAAATTTCATAATTTTTATTAGTTATCATTTTAGTTAACATTTATTTTATTTAAGTTAATGTTAACATAAAATGATGGTTTTATTTTTAGTCAACTATAATAATCTACAGAATGATATGTTGCTTTTTGCTCTGAATGGCCCCAGAAAGTATGTTCAGTTTTACCTGAAACAGATTAATTTGAATCTGGCAATGTGTATTATGTTGGTTGTTGCACATAATTCAACAGTTCAGAAATTAAATGTTGAGTTTGTTGTGCTAAATGTTTAATGCACTATCGCTTTTGAAAATAATGTACACATGACAAAATATCAGAGATTTAAAAAATGCATTTGCTGAAGCAACCGTGCCATTTTATCTTGTTTCTACACATCTTTGAGCTCTTTTATCATGGCTCATGTTCAACAGACTTGTACCACATTGCTAGTGCAATGCTGTATTTGTTTAAAATCATGCATAAATCATGCACTATGGTAAAGTGTTTTGAGGTCATAACATAGTTTTGTGCAAGGAACCAAGCAAAAGCAAGTCTTTATTAATTGGTAATTTTCCCCGTAATCATAATTTGTGTGAAAAGGAACAAAGTTGTTGGTGTTTTACTGTCTCTCGAGTTCATTTCAGCTGGAAACTGCAGTGAACTACATGTAGAGGTATGTTTTGGGAGTTCTGAAAAATGTACGTAGAGGCACGATTTTCCAGTGTGCCTAGGTTGTTCATTTTATTGCTCTGTACTTTTACTGTATGCCAACAATTGTTTCATTTGTTTCTACTCTGATTTTACTAAAGAAGAATCTTCTGAAACTGTTGAAACTTCAATGACAGGCTTACTAGGAACCACATTATATCATTTGAGTTACGAAAGAGCAACTTCTGAGCAATAATGTTTTCTCTGGGTTGACACATAATGAGATATGACAAGATGACATCATTTTGTTGGAGTACCTCTCATAATATCATCACTCCAATGATGCGATGCATTTTCACACACAAAACCTTGAAAATGGAAACCTTTGATCCCAAACAGAGATACGACTGGCTGTCATGTCTAAATAAGAAAGTGTTATATCTGCAACTCAAAAGCACTCACTCAAACTGACTGTATGAAATCATGCATACAGATATCATAGAGCACAACAAAAGGGATTTTTTTTATAGTCTGACCCTGTCGAGCATTTCTGTGGTACTTACGCAGCGCAGGGCGGCACCCCGTCCCCTTCAGGTTCACAGGCCTGGCTCTCCTCCAGCTGGGGACACTCGGACCCTCCTCCGGTAGGAAGCCGTATCAGCTGTCTGCTGCGGGAGAGTGAGCCCTGAGGAACACTGGGGTCCGAGCAGGTCTTTGAGCAGGAGCCCCACGAGCTCCATTCACTGACCACACAGTCTTTGGGCATCAGGCAGGACTGGTACGTCTCTGGCAGACTCCAGTGGGGACACTGGCTGATACAGGACAGACGAGTAGAAGGACTGGTCAGTCAACATGACAATATAATGATTTTACAGTTATCAAGAAGTTTTTGTTTAGTTTCAGTTGAAGTATTAAAATAACTAAAACTAAATAAACAACCTAAAAACTAAAATGTAATAAAAACTACAAACATTTAAAAAAAAAAAAAAAGACACACAAAACTTACTAAAACTTTGACCAAAATTAAAATGAAAACAGAAAATATAAAAATAAAATATTTCAAAATAAAAATTCTATAACAGTATATCAATGATATTAAAAAAACAACGAAATGCTGAAAAATGAAATATTTGTTTCTTAGAGTAGAAATATTTTTATGAGTGTTATGCAAGAGTTATACCAAATTAAATGACAAACATAAATATTATAATATACAAATATGTTTTTTAATTCATACGATATTTTAAAGTAGATTTTTGCAATTTATTTTTTTGTAAACAAATAATTACAAAATTCGATAAAATTAAATAAATATGACCAATACTTATTTTTATTTTCATCATATTTATTTATTAGAACATTGTGTCTGGGCAAACATCCATTTTATTAAAACAAAACAAAAATAAAAACAAAACATCATAAAAATTCCAGGGGCTCAACTAACAAATAAAAAGCTGTGAACCCCTGATTCCATCACATTACAGTATCACCGCAGTATTTTGTCTTTTAATACTTTAATCACATGCTTTTGGTAACAAACTCAAATCGCAGCTGAACAGCTTTTGTAATTGTTTCAGTGGCCGGTAACTTAATGCTGAGCAGTGAGAATGCAGCAATTTCTCTTAGTCTCTTATTTTCTCTGTAGGCAATGCAGCTGACGAGCTATTACAGCTAATTACAGGCTGCTTCCTTTCCAGCGTAGCTTCATTTAGCAACCGCTCATTTAGGTGCCGCGGCTGCCAAACTCACCTCAGGGCAGCACGGACTCTTAAACACATAAACTTCAAAGCTCCCACTGTTTTCCACCCACTTTAAACCCAGATTAAGATGTCTCGAAACCATTTAAAAATCTGGCAACATAATGACATCATATTGCAGCACAATAACTCTTCCTGAGGTCTAAAAATGATAGTAGCCATAGGTAAACTGTATTTGGCAGAAATAGAGAGCATGCAGTCTGTCGCTGGAATAGCGATTGTGCGTGCTATAAAATAAATGGGGCAATTATCAAGATTGTGACAAGGGCTGGGCAAAATTAAATTAATTAATTAACCAAAATTTGTGATTGGCAGCACTCGGCACCTGGTCGGGAAATGTCACGCCCCTTACCATAGCCGCCTGCGAGCTTCAGCGTAAATATTGCGTCAATATCAAATCAATTTGAGTGCGATTTAAGTTCGTCTGCCTTGGGAAAGCTAGCATGTCTCCGACATAGTGATAACATTCGTTGCCTTCTCTAGTGCAGCTCAACCAGGTCTCGTCCCATTCGTCGATATTTGTGATATTACAAATCCCCGAAAATATGCGTTGTGGTCCAAACGAGTCATTCGTTGTAGTTTTTGAAAAGTGATTTCTGTTAAATAAAATATCTCCTTTTGAAGTAGACTTTGAGCTTTGTAACTTTGCAGATCGTTTTTATGCTCAAACAGCAACATTACAGACTAACTAAAGTTAAAAAAGTGAAAAAGCATAATAGGACCCCTTTAAATGCTAATAGATCTGCTTTAGTGTCTCTCTGTGAGACAGGATGGCCAATTAAGCCTGTGAAAACTCTGCCGTATAGCTGCAGGGATGGAAGATCTCAGCGTGGGATCGCTGTGCTTCCACAGGTGGAGAGGAGAGAGAGTCATAGAGCCAATCAATGTGATGGGGATTATTAGGAGGCCATGATAGACAAGTGCCAGTGGTGGCAAATTTGGCCAGGACACCAGGGTTACACCCCTACTCTTTACGAGAAGTGCCATGGGATTTTTAATGACCACAGAGAGTCAAGACCTCGGTTTAACGTAAGTTAAAAAAGTGAAAAAGCATAATAGGACCCCTTTAAATTTATGAATGAATGATGCATTTATATAGAGCTTTATTGTGTATTGCTGTGCACCCAAAGCACTTTACAATCATGTGGAGGGTCTCTCCTCAACCACCATCAGTGTGCAGCATCCACTTGGATGATACGATGATAGCCACAGGACAACGGTGCCAGAGCGCTCACCACACACTAGCTACAGGTGGAGAGGAGAGAGAGTCATATACTCAACCCTGCTTAGCTTCAGTGGGCAACCAATCTTGGGCTTCAGGGTGATATGGCTGTGGCATATTTATGGTATTTATTAAATGACAAATTTTTGACAATTGGAACTGATTAACGGAAATAAATCACACATATCAACTATCAACACCATGTTTGCTAAAGAAGTTTAAATTAAACATGAAAAAAGTTTCCACAACTTCCATAATGTGATGTATATAACAGGATATTCAACAAGAAAATAAATTTAGGGCGGATTTGACTTTTCCTGAGTGTCAAATTGGTTTCAAGCAGTGTTAATCTGCTGAAATATGCTTTGCTGTACCTCAAACTTCCAAATATTACTAACATGCATTGTTTTTATGCACTGTGTTGCACATTTTTGGTGAGCTGTTATTAACAGCTGCTTGATGGAATGAGGACACCATCATTTCCATTTAAATGAGAATGATGTTTCTCCTTTAATGTAAGAATAACTCAATTGTGGCAATTGAGGAGAGCCTCGCTGCGGCAACAGGAGCATTATGAAGAAGTCCATCAAATCCTAAATAAAGTTAGCAAGAAATACTCAATTAAACAATGCTATTGAATGCATAACACTGAGCAAAGGTATGTGATTTACAGTCTTTGGCTTTCGAGAGCTTGTGTAAAGCCACAAACACAAAGAACTAGCAACAGATGAGATGTCTGGTGAAATATTACACTAAGTACTGCTGGGTTTACTATACTGACAAAAGCAAAGTAATGAAACAGAATAAGAATGGTGTGAACTGTTTCTGTGTGATGGTCTACTGGCTGATCACAGAAAAAGTGTGTTATTTTTCACTTTCTTGAAGAAACAAAACAGCTATGAATATTTCAGGAGCAAAGAGAAACAAGTTAAAGATGAATATTTATTCTCCTGGAGGTATGACGGTTGTTTTTGCAATTCCATACATTACATATATACATTACCATTCAAAAGTTTGGGGTCAGTTTTTTTTTTAAGAAATTAATAATTTTATTTTGCAAGGATGCATTAAATTGTAAAAAAAGTGATGTTTATAATGTTACAAAAAAAATTATAATAAACGGTGTTCTTTTAAACTTTCTATTCATCAAAGAATCCAAAAAAATAAAATATCATGGATTCCCCAAAAATAGCAAGCAGCACAACTGTTTTCAACATTGATAATAATAAGAAATGTTTCTTGAGCAGCATACAGAATTAGAATGATTTCTGAAGGATCATGTGACACTGAAGACAAATCTGCTTTGAATCACAGAAATAAAGTACATTTTACAATATATTCAAATAGAAAACATCTCATTTAAATTATAATAATATTAAATGTTTTTACTTCATTTTTAATAAAATAAACGCAGCCTTGATGAGCATAAATGACTTCAAAAATATGTTTCAAAAATAATCCCACATTTTTGAATGGTGTATTTGACTTTGTGTATTATATGTGACTTTGCTGGATTGCTTTAACCTTGATGTTGGCTATTGAACTGTTTCCATAAACTTAACTTTACCTGCAGATTCCTCAGGCTGAAACGCTCTGAATGTTTTCCTTTCAACTCTTCCTATGTTCCTGAACTCGAACAAATATCAAAGGCCAAACACTGTACGCCTGAGTTACACAGACTATAAGGCTGCGCCAAAACTTTTTAAATAACTACAAAACTCTTGAACATTTAATACTTGGTGGAAAGTGCTGGCACAGATTCCTACCGTGTCACACAATCTGCTGCTGGGGAATATACAGTTGTCATTTCTACTGTTGAAAATAGACATCAAGCGTGGGAGTGCTTTGACAGCACAGCGGAGACCCAGACGAGTCACGCAGGCATCATCCTCTTACTGTCAGCGGCTGACAGAGTGCAGAAATCCCTAGTTTTCACACTCATTTAACCGCTATTAGCCTGACAACCATTAGTGCTACAACAAAAGAGATGCGGCTCAGGAGAAACTAATGCGTAATAGTCTCTTTTAACACATAAACATAAAAATGACCAGGGTTTTTTAATATTAACGGACATACTGCAGATCGAGAAAGCCTCAAGCATAATATAAGCACATTTAAGTTAAAACTGCTCATCCTTAGTATGACAACCTTTTATGGGTAATATTTTACAAGTAATATCCTTCTTATACTTTGAATATGTGAGTGTGCATATCAAATAATCTTGAATTAATTATAATTTCTAAAAATCTATTAAAAATAAAAAAAGGTAAAAATATTTGGGGAGTTGCAATTAATAATAATAATAAATAAAGATGATTAATAATTAATTAATTAATTAATATTGACTTAGTTATATTTATTATTTATAAATATCACATTTTTGTAGAGTTGCACCACAAGATATTTTACAACCTGAACTAATGAAAAGAAAACATTAAAATTCATTTTAATAAATCCAATATGACAAACATGCTCATCATAGAAGAGGTGTATCCAAGTCATTGCACAAATTGCATTTTTAATGCATTTTTAAATAAATGAATAAACATGTTAATTATTATTAATATAATTGATGACATATATTAATATTAATGTAATGATATTTATTAATTCAAAAACTCTTTACGTTTTGGGGAGTCGCACCACATGACATTTTACATCCAAAACTAACAAAAAGGAAAAAAATATAAAAATTAATATTAATAATTCTAATATGGAATCTCATCATAGAAGAGGTGTATCCTATTGTACAAATTGCAATTTTTAAATAAATTAGTATGAATGTTGATTCATTATAATTAATATTAATAATATATAACAGTGATTACTAATAATAAATGACTAAATATTAATATTAACATAGCAGCGTTTATTAGTTTATAAACATCATTAACTTTTGAGGAGTTGCACCATGAAACACTTTAAAACCTGAACTACTCAAAGGAAAATATCAAAATGAATATTAGTAATTCTGACATGAAAAACATGCTCATCACAGAAGACGTGTATCCAAGTCATTGTACAAATTGTCATTTTAAATATATTTTTAATAAATTAATATTAATGTTAATTAATTATAATTCATATTAATAATAAATAACAGTGATTACTAATAATGAATTAATAACTATTAATATTAACATAGCAGCATTTATTAATTTATAAATATCATTAACGTTTGGGGAGTTGCACCATGAAACACATTAAAACCTGAACTACTAAAAAGAAAATATGAAATGAATATTAATAATTCAGAAATGAAAAACATGCTCATCATAGAAGAGGTGTATCCAAGTTATTGTACGTTTATATTACATTATATTTTCAAGTATTTTTGAATAAAGTAATATTAATGCTAATCAATTGTTTAATTATTAATTATTAATACCTTCAAAATTGATTCACAGGTTCTTATTTATTACGTTTTTTTTTTCACACTACAATATAACATGAATATCAGAAAATATAAAAAGTAATAAAAAAAAATAAAAAACACGCATCCAAATCACTGTGCAGATTGCATAGTAAAGTGTTTAACAAATGAATAAATAGGACAAAAAAATTATCTAGTCATTAAGTTAACTGCGTTCACTGTTTAACTCTTGTTTAAGATAAAATGTTGCACTTTCCAGTGGGCAAAAAATCCAGAATCCAGGTTTGTGAAAATCAGTTACTTGGTAATACAGTACACTGAACAGATCAATATTCCACCCCTCACAACCTCATTATTGTCAATAATTTAAGTCAAATGAATATGGTTCTAATGGGAAAAGTCACTAACCTGAGAGACACCGTGCTTCCGTTTCGATGCACACACACTACTTGCCGAGACTGGTAGCCTATTTCCATATTCCAGAGGTCGTCCTCTAGTCGATTCAGCCTGTTGCGGTTCCTTTTGCTCTTGATGAGCTCGCGCATCTCCGGGTCTCGGTTCCCTTTCCTCTCTTTGCCTTTCCGCCGGCGGGCTTGGCGGGCGGTGCGTGAGGGGGCGGCAGAGGAGGTCGGAGGTGATGCTAAAGAAGGCAGCTTGCACTCGCTCCATCCGCCCACTTTCAGACTGAACACCGTCTCTCTGCCCTCGCAGGCCCTCGGCGCGCACGTCTGGAACTCTGTCAGATTGGGGCAAGGAAGCCCACCGAACAGTGGTGGCTCCACGACGGAGCGGACGCGGTTCTGCAGGCCCAGCCCGCAGGTCTTGGAGCACATGGTCCATGGGGTGAACTCGGTCACTACACAGTCTTGAGGGCAAGGAATTAAACAGGCCTGTTCCTGCCGGGGTTTGGGCTCAAAGTACTCACAGATGGCGTGGTCCGCAGTCGAGCCGTCCGCCTTGAGCACACAGTTCACCTCCCGCGTCTGGATGCCCTCTTCGCCCTGCAGGCAAATGCCCGTGCGGCCGGTGCGCAGCGATATGGGAACGCACTGGTTCCACGTGCCCAGCCGCCAGTAATACAGGTCCTTGTGCCAGTCGCAGACGCGGAAGCAGCTCTGTTGGTTGGCCGGCCGTGTGGACTGAAGGCAGTTGGTGTGAAGGGTGGTCCAGCCTTCCACATGAGCACACCACACCGCCCGACTCTGACTGCCTCCTGGACCGCACTCGCTGCCCATACATCTGCCCCACGGACCTGGGAAAAACACACCAGTTAGTGCAAAGTCCCTGAGGAAATGTTACATAATGATGCTGCCTAATAAGATTATTTTAGAAGTTAATGCCATAATGCACTGTGAAGCTTATTTTAGATAGATAGATAGATAGATAGATAGATAGGTAGATAGATAGATAGATAGATAGATAGATAGATAGAATAAAAAACAGGAATATTGTGAAATATTATTATAATTATGTAATTTAAAATAACAGTTTTCTATTTGAATATTTCTTTAAATGTAATTTATTCCTTGTGATGCAAAGCTGCATCATTACTCCATGTCTTCAGTGTCACATGATCCTTCAGAAATCATTCTAATATGCTGAATTGCTGCTCAAGAAACATTTCTTATTATTATCAATGTTGAAAACAGTTGTCCTGCTATAGATTTTTTTGTGGGAATCATTATACTTCTTCAAAAGAACAACATTTATTTAAAATCTTGTTTTTGCAGCAGCAGCATTATAAATTACTTTACTGTCACTTTTCATCAATTTAATGCATCCTTGCTGAGAATAAAAGTATTAACTTCTTTAAAGCTAATTTTACTGACCTCTATGGAAGCTTGTTTATGCCACAATGAAAAAAAGGCAATTGTGACTTTACAACTCACAATTCTGAGTTTTTCCTCACAATGTCTCGAGTTTACATCTCTTAATTCTGACTCTTTTTTAAATAAACTCACAATTCTAAGATCAAATGTTGCAATTAGCTTATTTATTTATACATACATACACGCATGACAGAAACAAGCTTCCATGGACCCCAAACTTAGGTAATTAGATTTAAAATTAAAGCTTTAAATTGAAATAAATAAATAATTTTAATATTTACGAAAATTAAAATGACAAATGTTTTATACACAATATTTGTGTGTGCTATACTTTTGAAGCTAATTAAACGGCAAGATGCAAACTCTTTTGTGAAGCGCTATTTGTGAGTTTCTGCCTATGTGTGACGTTCCAAGAATGACTCTTATGAGACACCAAACCCAGTTTGGATGCTGCCTCAGAAAGCAACTGTGTATGTAGGCAACAGACAGTGAGGCGGCCCACTAAGTGCTGGAACACAGCCATGGTGTCAGGTCTACACACTTTGAAATTTGAATAGGTTCACTTTTGTACCTGACTGATCCTTAAGGTGATAATCTGAGTGTTGGCCTAATTAACTATTTGGCTGTGAAGCAATTAGGCAGTCAAAATGAGTTAATCACCGCTCAGTACCTGCTGCTTTGTACTACTGGCAGCGTCAAACTCTAAATAGAGAATGGGAACAGAAGAAGCGACAAGAACCTCATGGGCACTAATTTTGGGATCACATCAAGTCATCAAATGCAACAAATTGTTGCCAAACAAACTAAACAGAGTATGAATAAATGCTAAACATCAGGCAAAATAAGAAATATAGGACCACTGACATGCAAAACAGGCTACAAAACTGAAAAATAAAAGCTTATGCATCACAGAATGATGTTAAACACAGCTTGAAAATTCCCATTTGAGGTTTGACTATTAACTTTATTTAACCTTATTTAAGAAAATAGCTAAGAACTGATGTATCAGTAAAAATAGGTATGTCTGAGTTTCTGAATAATAAAAGAGAAAAAAAAACGTACTTACTGCAATTAAAGGGTCATTAAATTCATTTCACCTCCAAAAGCTTTTTTTATTCCTTTTTATGACAGTTGAGACTAATTACCAGTTTTTCTGCCGTAATAATAAATGAAATGCAAGCATATATAGCATATTGTACAGGCTGAAGAATCAGTGGTTTAACGAAAGCAGCTTAAACCAAGAATCCAGCGAGCGCAGACAGCAAAGCATGACAAATAGAGATCTGTAAAGACAACAAGGACTGTGATTGTGCTTCAGGGGCTCAATCTCACAGAAAATGAGGCTTTATTACCATTAATTTTCACTGTATTACATTAGCTGTGTCGAGTTTCCATCTCACATTCAGCACCTCCTGCATGATAAATAGTGGTCCATGTAATGAAGCTAAATAATAATCCATCTCAGAAGGTTCTTGCTGCAAACGCGTCGCATCAGGCCTCATTGTGTTAAACAAGAGCAGGGGAAATTTTGTAAAGCATAGTATAAAAAAAGGATTTGACAAGATTTTTTGACACCAGTGTGTTGATATGCATTTAGTGGTTCCTGCGATGTTGGTGGTTCCTTACTGACCCAAATCAGAGATTCTGGTTCTTTGTTTTGTTTTTTTTGCCAGTTTTATCACCTGTCAGGTGAAATTAGTAAGTATGCTTATTAACAAAAGAAATAGCACATCTCCTATACAATTTGAAGCATTATTAGTTTCCATTTCAAAAATAATAATGGGGAAAAAAGACGAGTAGCTTCACAAACATTACTAATAACATTATATCATAAGACCAATTGACCAACCACTCATTCCACCCACTCACTAGTTCTAATTAATATCATTTGATGAAGAGGGTGGGCGCTCAGGATGTGTTTACTCTGCAGGTCACTATGTTTCATTCCGGCTTTGAAAGGCAAAGAGAATGTCACAACAGTGATGCTATTGTTAACTAAATATAAAAATAAATAAAGCTGAAATAAAACTAACTGAAATAAATAAAGTTCTAAAAGCATTGAAACTGAAAAATGAATGATTTAGTTACTGTATATAAAAACATAAAAAGAATAGTAATAATAAAATGGCAGAAACACATAGCAAAATTTCTGAAACCTCTACAAAAAATAAAGCCAATTCAAAATATTAAAAAAACCAATGTATAAATAATACTAAAATAAAACTGCTTTACAATAGCTTTGTTTCAAATCCTAAAAAAAAAAAAGAGACCTCAAACGTTTGAACAGTAGTGTGTATATCACACAAATCACAAATAAGCTGAAGTACAAAAATTGCTCAAACTAACACCAAAAATGACAGGTATATATCAAAATTACCAAAACTTTACTAAAATGAAAACTGAAAATATAAATATACAAGCTATAAATCTAAATGCTATAATAATATATAAATATTACAATAACGGTAACAAATTAGTTTAAGGACCAATTCCTTAAGCTAGTTGTTTGTTAGCATGCATATTACTAGCATATTGGCGGTTTATTAGTACTTATAAAGCACATATTAATGCCTTATTCTGCATGACCATATTTTAGATCCCTTACCCCATACCTAATCTTTACAACTACCTTACTAACTATTAATAAGCAGCAAATTAGGAGTTTATTGAGGCAGAAGTTAGTTAATAGTGAGAATCGGTCCCCTAACTAAAGTGTGACCAAAATAACACTATTCTCATTTTAAGGTATCAGAAGCACACGCCTGACACAAACAGTACACACTAGGCAGAAAATGACGTTGCCTTCAAAGAAACCTTGATTTGGCCACATTCTAAAACATTAGAGGGTAAAGAGGATTTGGAGCTGACAAATGCATTTAACACTGAATACAGTTCAGCGTAATTAAAATGGAATATTTCACTCAATATTAGTGTGACTCTATGAGGTGGAAAAAAAGTCCCACTTACTTTCTCCATAGAGAAATTACCAATAGTATCTCAACTTTTCAAGAAAGACCAATCATGAGCTCTGAGGTGATTTACCAGTTCTGTATGAAGAAAAATGTAAAACTAGGCAGTTGCTGTCTTGCAATCCACTGTGAGACGAGTTTCTCAGAGTGCTATTTGTGCAACATCTGAAGCTCCTTTATTCATGTAGAGTGTTTGAAATCAGTCACTTTGCAGTTACACTCCAGTTAGGATGCTGTCTTAGAAGGCAGCTGTCTATGTTGGCACCAAACATGAAGGTAGATCACTAGAAAGAGAACTACAGTGGTGTCTGCCGAGTCAAAATCTATTATAATTTATTGCAAATAAGCAAACACTGTTCACAGAGCTGCAGAGAGACATATAACAGCATACATTTCTCCAATTATGTCACAGACTTAATGACTGCGTGATGTGCTTCCTCCAATGGTGGGAGGGAGCAGAACTGCTGTCGCTTCCCAAGGCTAATCGTCTTTGGGAAAAGCAAGAATAAACACAATCCCTACACAATGGGTTTCACCGAAAACAACAAAAGATTTCACTTTTATGTCTCCTGACTCCCCCACAGGTTCAGAAAGAGGATTTCGAGACTGTGGTCGTCTGCGAACGTGAAGAACTGTGACATGAAAAGCTCCAAAATATGCTAAATTAAAGGTGCAGCAGGCCGTTTTGTAAAATATGTATCTTGAGAAATTACACCTTGATTTTAGACTCCACACACCTTAAAAAATTAAATACGTTTTAAAAACATGTATTTAAAAATAAGTGTTTTTTTTGTGTCAATATAACGGAATAAACTATTTTTTTAATTAAAATCGAATTATTTTTTTCCTTAATCTTCCTTGAATTTCCAGAGAAGCAACTCATTTGTGATGTATACCAGTATGATGTAATATTTTGGTGATACTACCATCTGCCCACACTGGGGTCATTGTGAGAGGATCAGGCCTGCAGTGGGTCAGGATTGATCAGTATCTCACACATCATTATCTCCTGTGCTCGGAGGAGATGCCAGCTGTCATGATAAAAGGTAATTCTGGCTGACAAAGTGCTGGTCCATCAGCGTCTGACAGGTGTGTAGGAAACAGAGTGCAGACAATTCAGACTGTCAGTCAAACGGACCCACAGCCCAGTTCATAGAGAGAAGCATTTGATGAAGATACATCACCGCTTTTACCATTACAGTTCTTCTCAATTGCTTTGGCACATTTTTCGAAACAATCTTAACATTCTCTAAACTGTGAGTGCAAATGTCACAACTGTTTGCTGGAACTTCAGAACTTTATTGCATGTCTGCAAAATGTAGTTATTCATCCAAAACATTTAATTCATGCTTCAAAACCTAGTTATCGTGTCGGTAATTTGGCCAAGGCTACAGAGCAAAAAAAGACAGAACAATAGATAGAATGGTAGATACAGACAAAATGATAGATACACAGACAGAATGATAGAACAACAGAACGATAGATAGAGAAAGAATGACAGAACAATAGATATAGAATGATGCAGACAGAACAATAGAATACCAGATACTGACAAAATGATAGATAGATAGAATGACAGATAGATAAAAAGAATGGTAGATAGAATGATACATAGAACGACAGAACAATAGATAGATAGAACGATAGATAGATAGAACGATGGATGGATGGATGCGGCTTCAGAAGTGAGTCAATCAAATGCAAGAAAACTGACCCCAGGCAAAGACCATTAAATTCATAAGCAAACTGTGAACTTAGGACGTTCTGAAGATAAATCCAGTCATCCATGTGCCTTCAGCCTTTCAACATCCCGCTTCTGCACATTTCAAAGTAAATTTCCAACAGAGCAGTCCGATAGTGACGCTCCAAAGGCAAAACTCACACATAATGCTACAAGTTATGAAAGCCATCTCTTCCATCTTCATTTAACATGAGCTTTTGCCCTAACTAGCCACAAAGGGTGACATTTTGTACTTGTCTGTCACTTCACGCCTGTACATCTCATAACTGCATTAAACATCAAATGCACTTATTTTTGTTTTCAGTGAGGTCTGAAAAATTTCTAGTCACATGAAAGCAGTTGCGTCACTCCTGGTTAGGATGCTGTCTTCACACTGTGACCATTTTTTCAGCACTAAAAAGCTAAAAAAACACTCACCTGCCAGAAAAAAAAAGCTGAGGGTCAAAACTGAGAATTTACAGTAGGAAGTCTGTATTTTTCACTTTCACATCCAATATTTCCTGATCGGCACTCCAGCAGTAAAATATCAAAAGGTCAGCGCGTAGCATTTCATCTGTGTGTGCTCGGCGGGGTTGTAATAAAGGGCACAATGGGAGAACACCATAATGCAGTTTCACTACTAACAAATTCCCTATAGCTGTACAATAAACAAGGGGTTTTCAAACCTTTACTACAATATAAACCAGCTATATATTTTCACACTGTGTGGTTATGCGAAACTCTAAAGAACAATCATATTTGTACCCAGTATAAAAGAAATGTAAATCATTTTTCGCAGTATTCAAAGGAAGCTTTACAGAAAATGCTATACAATCATATATTTGTAATCATTTTCATAAAAGAACCAAGCCTGCATTTGTTTGATCAGTAAAACCAGTAATATTGTGAAATATTATTACAATTTGAAATAACGGTTTTCTATTTGAATATATTTCAAAATGCAATTTATTCCTGTGATGCAAAGCTGAATTGTCAGTATTTGCTGCTCAAGAAACATTTCTGATTATCAATGTTGATAACAGTTGCGCTGCTTATATATATGCTTAGAATATTGCTTCGAATATTTTTTGGAAACCGCAATACTTTTAGGGTTACTTGATGATGAATAGACAGTTCAAAAGAACAGTATTTAAAAAAGTTTTTTTTTGTTACATTATAAATGTCTTCACTTTTGATTAATTTAATGTGTGACTGCAGAATAATAATATACAATAAAAGTGTATATATAATAAAAATCTAAAGCGTATGTATTTATGTATGCATGTATGTGTGTGTATGTGTGTGTGTATATATATATATTTTATTTTTTTTGGAAGGGGGGGTATGGGTAACTGACCCTAATAAATAATTGATACAAAATAATTGGGGCAATAAAAAAAAAGACATCAGAATGTGTAAATTTTGAGGTGAACTAATCTTTAAAACACATTTGTTTTTCTCAAATTGTCTATGGACCCCCAGTTCCCTACTTGATAGCCACTCAGACTTTAGTAAACTAGGTCACTACACTATAACAGCTGTATTCCAGACCACTTATAATAAGTGCTGCTTTCATCAGCAATCAAGATCAGATTGAAATACTCAGGGCAGCAAGCAAATCATACGGTTTTGACAGGCCACAGTATAATATGCCTCATGGATTTATCTGGTAAACACTGCGAGCAGCACCAACCTTCAGCACATCTCTCCAGTGTCAATGAAAGATTTATAGAAGCCAATGTGTTCTACAGCACATGTTGTGATGGATCTGAAGGTGGGGATGTAGAGAGTCTGCTGGATTTCTCTCTGCCTCAGATGACACCTCACTCTGATGCATTTACAACAAAACTGAAAAACACAGGCTAAAAATCACCTGACTAGAAAAAGATATTCAAAGGCTTGTTGTGATTGACACATTAAACTAGATATTCACGTGCACTTATTTGAGTACTTATTAATTTTGGACAGAAATTTATTCTTATTACAAGGCTATTTTCTGCTACAATTGTTTGCACCTTTATTGGAATTTAATTTGGTCTTTGCCAGTCTACATAGCCTACCAGTCAAAATGTTGAAGTAATTCAGATTTATTGATGTTTATGAAAGAAGTCTCTTCTGCTCACCTATAGGTGTTACAGAGGAGGCTCCCGTACCGCCTCCTCCGCACCACCAGAGGGAACCGTCTCCCGAATATTAGTCATTCCCATTCGGACTCCAATTCCCATCACCCCTCATGCCTGGGACTGATTAATCATCCACACCTGCACCTCATATACACACACACATATATAAACCACTCACACACACAGACTTTCTGCGATGTCTTGATTTGCCCTGGCTGTCATTTCCGAGCGTTATACCCGTGTTTGATTTTCTGTGCATCTGTTCTTGGACTGTTTCCCGATACTCTGATTGTTATCTGCCTGCCCCGACTTGGATTGTTTCACCTGGACTCTGTTTGCTTGCCGCCTGCCCCGATCTCTCGCCTGGTACACGACTCTGTCTCAGCCTTGTCTCTGCTGTTCTACCTTGCCGGTATTTGACCCTGTATTGTCTGACTATTCTAAATAAAAGCTACAAATGGATCCACACGCTTCTGACTTGTCACAACAATAGGTGGGATTTACTTGACCAAAAGTAAAGTAAAAACAGCAATATTCTGAAATATTATGATTTAAAATATCGGTTTTCTATTTGAATATATTGTAATTTAATATTAATATCAATAAACCTTTAATATTGTTATAATCAATGTTAAAACAGTTGTGCTGCTTATATATTTATTTATTTATTTATAATAACACTTTTAATCAGCTAGGCGGCATTAAACATATCAAAAGTGACAGTAAAAGACATTTATAATGTTACAGAATATTTATATTTTGTCTGTTTCAAACACATGCTGAACAAAAGAACCATTAATAATAATCAAGTACCAGTAACAATTGAGCAGCAAATCAGCATATTAGAATGATTTCTGAAGGATTATGTGACACTGAAGACTGGAGTAATGCTGCTGAGAATTCAGCTTTGAATCACAGAAATAAATTACATATTAAAATATATTCCAATTTAAAACAGCTATTTTTAATTGTAATAATATTTCACAATATTACCGTTTTTACTGTATTTTTTATTGTATATTTACTGCAGACTTCTTTCAAGACTATTTTAAAAATCTTAATTCTTCCAAACTTTTGACTGGTATATCATTTAATCACCAGAATAAGCAGTAAAGTGGATCAGACTTTATGCTCCTAGTTAAAAGTCTGGCTATGCAAAACTAGCCGTATCAAGCAGGGTCCTGTCCTGAGAAACATCTAATTTCTTTCATTATTCCTTCAGCTACAGCCTTAAATGGAAATGACAAAAGGAGAAAGCAGATGAAGCAAGAACATCATGTTGACGTGGGAAAGGAGATTGGTTCCTTCATTCATTTATTCAGCATGGCTATGAATCCATACTCAGCAGGTGAAAATCTATGCTCATTTTTGCTCTTTGATGAGTAGAAATGTTCAATAAAAAGAAACATTAAAACAACATCAAAGAAACCCTCTGCTCTTGAGGCTGTAGATCAATATGGAGGAACACGAGCAGTGCAATTGAAGCATGACCCATGATGGGAACGTGAATGAACCGCAACTTAGCTTGTGGAAAAAGAAAGCATTAATAGCAAAAACGAATATTAGAGTTTTAATTCGTTTCAGGCATAAACACTTTAAAGCTGTTTTTCTTTAGTTTGCCCACAGGCAGAGATGAGAAGTCACAGCAGGACCACGCGCCCCTCCGTACAGCAGTAAATATGAATACGCTTTGTTGATGGCGATCTGACATGCCACCTTCATGAGACGCCTCCCTTGGGGCAGCTGGAAAGTGAAAAGAGGTTTTAACACCACAGAAGAGCCAGACCTGATCATTGTGCCTTTTAGATAAAATACATTAAATCTGGGGTCTGGAACGTGAGTGGCTTTGGCTCGTAAACAGTGAGAAGACGCTCTGGGGGAGAATGTTGCATCTAAATAACAGACAGACCTGCAGCTATGGGCCAAGGTGGAGCTTTAGTGATCTCCACCCATTACAACTGTAAGACTACACTAGAGCCTCAAATATGTTGGATTTACTTAAAAATATACATTTAAAAAAGTGGTTCCTGCTATATCAAGTACTCAATCAAAAATACAAAAATTATTTAAAAACATAAATTCAATAAGCTGTATTAAATGTCTATTTGAATCATTTTTAAATAAATGCAATTTATTTTTTATAATTTGGATGCAGTCATATGCATACATTAAATGTATTAAACTTATTATTAAACTATAAATTAATATAAAATTATTATTTGCAAATCTGATTTAGCCATATTACATTTTTATACTAAATGAAAATAAATAAATAATAGTATTTATTTATCTATAGTAGTAACCTATTAACAAAAAAATTATAGGGATGCACACACAGAAATTCTGTACGATACAATAAGAAGTTACTTATTTATAATTTATATGCTTGATATGAAAATACATACAATTTATAAATAAATAAATATTAATAGGTTAATTCCCCCCTCCCAGAGTTAATTAGAAAAAAATTAACAGGGGTGCACATAAATTCTGTATGATATGAGCAGTTAATTAATTATTCAATAGTGTGTGTGTCAGACTCTGTCCCGTGTTTTGTTGTGTGCTCGGTTCGCCCTCGTGTTTCCTTATGCCCATATTTGGTTTTGTTTCCTGTTCTCGTTGTCTCATTATTAGTTGATTCCCCGCACCTGCCTGTCCCTCGTTAAGCTTAGTATAAATGTGTAGTCTGCCTGATATTTCCTTGTCAAGTCTTAAACGTCACCTCATGTGTGTATTCCTGTGCTCCCTATTATGTGTTCCTCTACTTTGGTTTGTTTAGTTAGTCGAGTTGTGTAGTCGTCGCCTCGTTTCCCTCTGACGCACCGTGACAGAAGACTCAACCAAATATGAAGACGAACTGGGCTGAAGAGTTCATCTGTAATTTCCAGCAGGAGGAGTGATTGTTGGTGCAGTATGTGGAGGAGTTCCTGAGTGTTTTACATCTGGTGAGCTGGAGCGATCATACTGTTAATGCTTGCTTCTGGATGGGACTAAAAGATGATCATTTATTTTGGTTCTTGACTCCAGAAGATTGCCGCAGACCCGTAGTGGAGTTTATGAACTATGTCCTTGATTTAACTGGCTCAGAATTCTTAGTCGATGTGGAGGATAATCATCCTCTTCCCATCCAAAAGCATGTGGACGCTTCAGCTCACCATAAGCTAGCACCCTCCACATACGGTTCCAATGGGCCACTCAAGCCCACCGACCGCGCCGATGTCAAGCCTGCCAGCCGCGGCATTCTCAAGCCTGCCGGCTGCTCCCGTGTCGGCTCCCAGCCCCAGAGGTCGCTCCCGTGTCGGCTCCCAGCCCCAGAGGTCGCTCCCGTGTCGGCTCCCAGCCCCAGAGGTCGCTCCCGTGTCGGCTCCCAGCCCCAGAGGTCGCTCCCGTGTCGGCTCCTCGTAAGCGCTTCCCGGATCCCCAGTTCAGCCCAGGGAGGGCTCCTGATTTCCCCAGTTCAGCCCAGGGAGGGCTCCTGATTTCCCCCTTTCGCCCCAGATGGGCTCTTTAGAATTACTGACAAACTATTTTCCTGTTTGACTCTGTAAAGCAGCTTTGACACAATCGGTATTGTATAAATAAAGGTGACTCGACTTGATTTCATAACACCTGGTTCATTTTCTGCCTCATTTTAAATATGTAATTGTGAACAATATTAATATTTGTAAATTTGATTGCAGACATTTTGTTTAGCTAGGTGTTTTTTTTTTTTTTTTTTTTTAA